CTAGTTATGTCTCCCAATATTTTTTCCGGTTGTTGATTCTTCGAATAATAAGCATATTGGTGATAATTTGATAATGGGAGTAATAATATAAAAGTAGTTTCAGGTGGCGTAATGTTTGATTATATACAGCTACACGCCTTTAAACTATTGTAATTAGGTTGTTATCAGGTCGTTGATTTTCTCCTCAGGTTGCACCTTCCAGACAGGAGACCACATATGAATTGCTAAACATTGTACTCTTTAGTTGTAAGATTACTTTATGTTATTTTGAAGCTCAACAAATCTGTTACAAAGAGGGACAATTTTTCTTTCCCAATTATTAATTTCCTTTTTTGGATGATGAAGTTCCTTTGGCACCATCTTACGGTGTTTATATTTCACAACTCGTTCGCTATGCCCGTGTCTGTTATGACGTCTTGGATTTCAATGAACGTAATCTATGTATTACTGGTACATTATTAAGTCAGGGATTTGGTTACCACAAATTACTTAAAACCTTTACTAAATTCTTCCATAGATACACATTTTTGGTTTGTCAGTTTGGCTAGCACATCATAATTTTTACGGAGATGTTGTTTACCGAGCCCGGAAATTTATATACGATCCGAGTAAACTAACCGATACTTTAAATAAACTTATTCTAAAAGGTTACCAATTCAGCACTGTAATTAGGTCTTTAAATATTGTTTTTATTGGTATAGATATTGATTTTGTTATAAGTAAATTAAAACCAGACTAATATTATTGTTATATAATTATTCATATTCATATGCAAATTCAAGGTTCTACAATCTGTCGATACCTGTATTTTGGCATTGCACAAGGTCATGTTTTACTCTGACTGTTAATGACGTCTTTACACTAAATCCATCGGATGTTGGATGTGTGCTGATTGATACTTTAGTTGTTTGTGGCTTTGTACTAGATGTCAGTAACTTTGAGTACTCTCAGATATGTACTTACATGTAATGTCTGTTTTTTGTAGTGATGTATAAATACCCTGCCACGTCTTGTCTGTGTTTTGTGATCTGATGATTTGAGCCCTTATCAACTGATTTGTATAGATTGTTCATATGTTGTACTGTTTCACCGCTGTCTCAGGTTAGGGTGAGGGTTTGGCGCCCGCTAACATGTTTAACCCCACCACTCTGTATGTGCCTGTCCTAAGTCAGGAGACTGTAATTCAGTGGTTTTCGTTTGTTGCTGTATATGATATTTGTATTCCGTTCATTGTTTTATTTTACATAAATCAGGCCGTTAGTTTTCTCGTTTAAATTGTTTTAGATTTGTCATTTCGGGGCCTTTTATAGCTAACTATGCGGTATGGGTTTTGCTCATTGTTGAAGGCCGTACGGTGACCTATTACTGTTAACTTCTACATTTGTATGTTATTTGGCCTCTGGTGGAGAGTTGTCTCATTGGCAATTATACAATATCTTCTTATTTTTATAGGTAACTGTTATTAAATGACTTTATTTTCGATGCAATTGGGTAACTGCTATTTGTATTTATCAGTATGTGTTCTGTTAATGGATCATATAATTTAAAACCGATTTAGAATTGTACATTCTCGCAGAATTTTGCTTATGCAAGTGTTTTTTCTGTACTTTTCTTAAATGTTTTGTTAGTCAGTGAAAGTTAAATGATAAGATGATATTGACATTAAAAGACTTCCGCACAAAAAGAGTTGCTAAAATCAATTTTTGTTGGAGGACTTTTAGGGTCAATATTAACTTACGTTTAATCTGTCAATTAGTCATAGCGTTGCGACAACGTTTGGAAAACCTGCGACCGACGTCGTACGAATAATATCACATATTTGTCAGTGTTTTACGTTATCTCAATATTCGTTAAATGTTGCATCGCAATCATAGCGTTATCTTATGACACGACGTAATTCCGACACAAAGTATTTTCATTTCTTAATAATGCGACATGAATGAGTGCATCTGAAGAATACATGCAGACACATGAAGTGTTTTTAAAGAATGCAAATTCTGTCACGAATGGCTAGAATTGAAGGAACTCATTTTTAACAAACATTTAGTGTCACAACATGACATAATAGATTGAAGATACATAATAAAATATTTGAAACATTGACCTAAGGACTTAACAGTCACCCAGGTCATGCAGGTGTGCTATCTACACACAGTAAGTTTTTATACTTTTTATGGATCAATATATGTTAGGTTCAAATTCTTTATGATATCAATGTTATCCATAGTATGACTATGTTTCAGAAAATTGTATTCATAATTTTGTGCTTCAGATTAACGAAACTAAGTTAAATAACAACATTTTTCTAAAACAATACCCATATGTCATTGTAAGTACTAAGTACATAGCTACTGGGCTTATCATATTATCGGGAGCTAACAGTCGACCAGCAGAGGTATCGGTTAAGGAATAGTACATGTAGTTCTAACTGCACAAAGTACAATTAATGCCCAACATATAGCACGCCACATCCAAACCAATACAAACTTACAGCTATCAACTCGCGATCGGAAATTGCAAATCACAGACTTTTTAAACCAGTTCGCATTGGTAAAGATGAAAAGGAGAAAAGATCCTTTCTAAAAATTTCCTTCGTCAACAAAGGTCTTGATACCATCAACTTGGGCAATATTCTTCATCATAAATCAATTAAATCGAAAGTACCTCCTTATTTTAAAGATCAGTCTGTACCTATCATTTCTGTTACCTTTACTTAACCAATTGCAACTAAAATGTTCAATTACAAACATGTGTTGCAGGATCTTGATATGGACGACTTCAAGTCTAAACCTCCTGATTGCTCCAATGATAGTTCCCCATTCATATATAATCCGGCTGGCCACATTATTACTGGTGACCTAATCATTGTTAATAACACTTCTCTGAGAAATGTGTTATCAAAAGGCCCGAAATATCGTGAGCCTTAATCCATCAGTTGGGAAAACTAGAGTGACTTCAAAATACTGATGGATTCAGTCGAGGATTTTGCCAGGCAATAGGTTAAACGCAAAAACGAAGACGTAGATCGGAATGGATTAAGGCTGCGAGGTCGTTGATACAATTCAGAATTAAAAAAACTGAATGGGTCTACGAACACCAATGCTACATCAATCTTTAACAATATTAAAAGACCCAAATGTTGCAAAACACCTGTCCTACCTGCATGACAAATATGTCATTGTCCCCAAACAACGTCGTTTGTGTGTGTAAATCAGATTACATAAACTGCTTGATAAATGAATTAGGTATAGACAATTCACTTGGAAACTCAAACTACATACCCCCACGACAATTACCAAGGATGAAATCCTGGATAATCATAGGTCTGTTCCATGTCCCTTTGGAATTTCAAAGATGAAGAACTGGATCTTCCCTCACTGCATTGGATACCTAAACTACATATTAAGAGTCCTTATAAACAACGTTTTATTGTTGGGTCTTCCAAGTGCTCCACGAAACTTCTTTCTAAATTATTAACATCTATTTTATCAGCAATCAAAGCCGGGCTTCAAATTTATTGTGAAACTACCTATTCTAGAGGTGGCGTGAATCAGATAAGGATACTCAAACATTCCAAACTGAAAGACAAATTAAAAGAGTTGGTCATGCTTTGTTTCATAAAAAAGAATGACTGACGTAGACACAAGTTTCTTGTCTTTGTAAAAAATCACTCTGATTCAAACTAAAATTTTCTGAAACTGACATTATCACAAGATACTTAATTTCTTGATTGATAACATATTTGCTACGTTTGGAGGACGTGTTTTTCAGCAAACAATCGGCATTCCCATGGGAACCAACTGTGCTCCTCTTCTTGCCGACTTGTTTCTGTATTCATATGAGTATGACTTCTTAGGAAGGAAGAAAATAAGTTAGCAGTATTCTTTAATTTCACTTTCCGCTATATAGATGATGTTCTCTCATTAGATAATTCAAAATTTGGTGACTATGTTGAACTCATTTATCCCATCGAAGTTGAGATAAAGGATACACCAGATACAGTAAAATCTGCCATATATCTTGACTTACATCTAGAAATTGACAATAAGAGTCGGATAGCAACAAAACTTTACTACAAAAGAGATGATTTCAGCCTTCCAATTGCGAACTTTCCATTTCTATGTAGCAACATTCCAGCAGCGCCTGCATACGGAGTATATATCTCCCAGTTGATACGATATGCCAGGGATTGTGTTTCCTACCATGATTTACTTGATAAAGGGTTGCTGCTAACAAGGAAGCTATTAAACCAAAAGTTCCAAGTGGTGAAGTTGAAGTCATCCCTTCGTAAATTTTACGGACGCTATCACGAGTTGATTGACCGTTATGGAATATCTGTTTCGCAGATGACGACGATTATGTTCTGAGTGTCGTAACTACAATCTCACCCCTTTCCCCCGAATCTGATCTACTAAATTCGACAAATCACCGGGTTTGTACTTACATTAGCTACACGACGGGTGCCACATGTGGAGCAGGATCTGCTTATCTATCCTTCCTTCCGGAACACCTAAGATCACCCCCAGTTTTTGGTGGGGTTCGTGTTGCTCAGTCTTTGGTTTTCTATGTTGTTTTGTGTGCTATTGTCAGTGTGTTTGTCTTTTTCTTATTTAGCCATTGCGTTGTCGGTTTTTTTTTCGACTTATGAGTTTGATTATCCCTTTGGTATCCTTCGCTTCTCTTTTAATGTCGACAATGTATGACACGGGATGGCAGCTCCGAAGCGAAACAAATACGACCAAAGAATGTAAAATAGATGAAATGTCTTTTTCAGAATGATGAGTATCACATTTTATATTCAAGACATTAATCATTCAGCACTTTTCAGCAGGCAAACGTAGACTTCAATATCACTCAGTTTTAGCTCATTTATTGTAAAAATTGTAAACAACACTGAGTGTTCCGATTCACTTTTCTGGATAAAAACCTATTACCACTGACACAGTATTGGAACAAAATGCACTGGGAACAGTATTACGATACCTTCGAATAAAGCCACATAGGGTGTCGAAATGTACTTTAATTAGAAATAACCAACCGGATTAGACAAAATTAAATAAAGAAAAAGAGATGTAAAACAGAGGGAGGATAAATTTAGACGTATTCAGTATTGTCACAAAACTACAGACAAAATGAAATATGGAGTCTCTGGTGGATAGTTGTCGCATTTGCCAGCTGAAGTTCGCCTCCGGGTGTCGGATTTTCTCACTTTGTTGAAGACCCATTGGTGGCCTTGGGCTGTATTCTGCTCTTTGGTCGAGTTGTTGTCTCTTTGATTTAGAATTGCCCAATTGCCAAAGAAAATTTAACTTGGAAGATTGTCGTCAATTAATAAGAATGTTTTGTAACTGACATCTTGGTGAGGAAAAATTATAGTAAATAAAAAATCAGATTTTATAATATATTGTTTAGCCTTCAATGAAGATGATTACCGATCGATACTATCTCTTCATTAAGATAGTTGTAAACAAATTTGACAATAGGAGTTAATATTATAACCATTCAACATGGCTATGTTGATTTATCGTATATATCAGTGGTAATGTTGATGTCATGGATTTTATATGACATATATGAATATTCCCCTTTAACCACTGAACAAGACGTGTCATATAATGCGTTTCCATCATTACAATTTCCTTTCCCAAAGGCTGCGCTATCATATGTAAGGCCATCTTCTTTTCGATTTGCGCCATGACTATAGTACATATTGTCTTGTGGACAAATTCGTCGATTTTGTTTATCATGTAAAATATCATATTCTCCATCGGCTACGTCTGTATAGGTCTCGTTCATATTTTCCGGTATATCTAAGTTATTCACAACGGAATATTTTGATGTACCCATTTCACAATGGTCATTTTTCTTCCTTGACGTTAGTGATGTACTCTTTCTATCTGCTGTATTAGATGAACCTTGGTTGGTTGTTTTTGAAAAATGCAATTTGCTAGTTTCTCCCTTCTCATATTTGTTAGATTTTTTAAAGATGCCCTTTGACCTAAAACAAAAATCAGTTTATTAACCACAAACATCTACACTTAGGTTTACAAAATAAAAAAAAAAGAAAGTAACACATAATAGTATAATGTTTTGTGTTTACCAATAATGTTTTTTTACTGTATATAGATGTAAAACACATTTCCCATGTTGATATTTATCCTGATGGGCTATGATTCTTGTCCATCTAATCCAATTGCATTTGTACCATGTGTGGTTATGCTTTTGTTTTGTTTTTTTTCGTCTTGTTAACTTTTGTTACTTCATGTCTAGAAAACCAATGATATGGATAAACGTTTAAGTAGTTCCAATATTTTGTTTACAACTTACTGATTAAACATTTCTTTTCAAGATAAAAATTGCAACAAAAATGCTACTTTGTATTAATTATTATTCGTGGATTTCGTGGGTAAAAGTAAACTTCGAATGTAAATGTTCAACGAAGTACACACTTTCTATAGGCTTGTATGCCGACTATGCCAAAACCACGAAAGCAGATATCCGCGAAACTACAATCTTTCTTCAATCCATAAACAGTGGTACCAACAGAAATAAATGAATCCATATCATATGATGAAAGAGACTGTTTGGTTTTAAGTGTAGAGAGTTTAAAATAATATCAGATATCAAAATGTAACCAACCTTATTTTACAAACTATCAATAAAGCTGATACAGTAAGTAGAGAACATGTACCTAGAATTCCGCCAATCACTGCACCTATGAATGTATTAATTCAGAATAAACTACATTTGATACAGATAATAAAACTTACCACGACAAATTAGAATTCTAATAGTTGAAATGCATGAAATCGGATATTAGGCATATATTAATGGGACAGCAACCCTTTTGCACAAAATATAAACATACAGGTTTCAACAGCAGATAATTGATTGTCCATTATATATAAAGAACTGTTTCGCAACGATCACATTAGTTGAACATTGGATTAAATACTTCTCTGAAACTGGTAGGTATAAGCAATGTTATTTTATTACAGTTGTACTGCAGTACAAAGACAGATACAGTTAGGAAGCTTATGAAGCTTATTCTCATAATTGAATCAATTTACTAGATGTTTGATATGTTTCTTCATTAAAAATTGGAGATAAAAATCAAACTTGATATAAATAATTGAGACAGCAAACCTATTCAATATCATAAATCCCCTCTCTCTATGACTGGAAAATACATAGTTAGAAAAATACACATCTCAATATAAACTCAATATGCACATCTTAATATACACTTCTCAATATACGCTTCTAAATATACACAGCTTGATATACACTTCTCAATATACACATCTCGATATACAATTCTCATTATACACATCTCAACATACGCTTCTCAATGTACACATCTCAATATACAACTCTCAAAATACACATCTCTATACACATCTCAATATACATTTCTCAATATACACTTCTTAATATAGACTTCTCAATTATATTTCTCAATATACACTTCTCAAAATACTCTTCTCAAAATATACTTCTCAATGTACACTTCTCAATATCAACCTCTCAATATACACTTCTCAATATACAATATATAATTCCCAATAAACACTTCTCAATATACACTTCTTAATATTCGCTTCTCAATATGATTACACTTACCTGTTAATGTAGAGTTATTTCCTTTTTCTCTTTGACCATTTCTTAATACTGTCTGTGTACTGACCAAGGATGCTGAAGATGTGATGCATAATAACATTAACGATACCAATTTAAATGTGTAAATGTCTTTTTTATAACAATTAAAATAAAATGAAAGCAATGTTATGCTGTTACATGTAGCACTTTAGGAAATGAGAAAAGTTATGTATTATGAAACATTACATGATTTAACATTATTCTTAAAAAATTTTGTCCGTTATTTTGACAAAATCGGGTAAGCAACCTTAACAGCTATAAATGTTGACAATAACGAATGTGTTGTAGGTTTGTGTGATGTATTCACATCTTTTCTAGACTAGAAGTCATTCAGAGATTGATACATTGTATATAGACCCTTATCTTTTTACAAGAATCCCCTGTGTCCGCACGGCAGGTGATATAGCGCATTTCGTCAAATCTGCAATGTAATATAAATATAATTTCTTGTTAATGTTGAAGTCTGCAGGGACAGAAAAAATTACAATTTATAATTGCGATAGCACGATAAACCATAAAAATGATAAAATTATTAAGTACAATTGGTTAAATTTCAGGTAAATTTTATCAATACGCGTACGAGTGCTTGCTTCACACTGAACTGTAATTCGTAGTATAATATCTTTCCTGTATTCAAAATAAGCAATTTTAAGAAGGCATGCGCGTCATTACCTTTTGAAGAACTGTCAAAACAGGGGTTTTCCTAACTTTGAACACATATTCCACAAAATCTAGAATTGGATTTTACAATAACCAACACGGATTGAATGAAGATTTATCAACATTCAAAACATCTTTATTATAATTGGCATACATGACTTGTCGAACAAGTCTAAACCCAGGTTAAACTTAGTTTACTGTCAAATCATCCAATTGTAATAACGAAAATGTCCTGTCAAAACTACAAATCAGTGAGGTCTTCAATCTGATATATCCGAGTGAACTTAAGAATAAGGATACTACAAAAACTAGAAAATCTGCTCCATATTGTGATCTTTTCGTTGATATTGAAACAGATGGACTAATTGAAACTAAACTTTACGACATACGTTATGATGTGCACTTCCTGTTTCCCATTTTCCCTTTTTCGGCAGTAACATACTCCATGCCACATCGTTTGGCGTCTACATATCTCAATTAATACGTTATGCCAGTACATATTTTCAAACACATCAATCGAACTGAAAATGTCAGTTACCCTATTGTTATCATTTCCCCACTATTGCAACCTTTTCTAATTAGTTAGTTTTAGCACAGCGGATGATGCATGCATAGAAGGATATGCTTACCCTTTCAGTGCACCCGGTTTCGTTTCTTTTGAAGTTAATATGATTCCCACAATTTTATGTTACCTTCATTGCACCTTTTCATAGGATTTATGGAATTTGAACCTCGGTTAACTACTGTTGCCTCGAATTCTTGTACGCGTCGTCAAACGTTGAAAGGGATGATTTGCATATTATCCAATAGAAATCATGTACTTCATGTACTAAAATAAAATTGAGAATGGAAATGGGGAATATGTCAAAGAGACAACAACCCGACCAAAGAACAGATAACAGCCGAAGGCCACCAATGGGTCTTCAACACAGCGAGAAAATCCCGCACCCGGAGATGGACCTTAGCTGGCCCCTAAATAAAAATGTGTACTAGTTCATTAAAAATGGACGTCTTGTTCAACTCCAAAACATATAATAAGCTAAAATTAAAAAAAACATACAAGACTAACAAAGGCCAGAGGCTTCTGACTTGGGACAGGCGCAAAAATGCGGCGGGTTTAAACATGTTTGTATCAACCAGGTTTAGCTTGTTTAGTAATATCAGAAACTGTAATGCAACCTATTTGAACTGGATTTGTTTTCATCGCTAACATTTGTACATCATGCTGATTCAATTTAGATTTCCAGCAACTCGAAAACATTCATGTTTTAATTATATTTTTGTTATACTGTTGCAGCAAATTAGAATCCAAGCGTGATTTGAAATTTATTATTTGATTTATCCATTTATTTATAAAAAAAAACATAAAAAGTATTAAACAAACCTACTCGATTCGCATATATACCATTTTATTTTGTTGCTGCAGTCTTGTACTCTCATATTTAGTTTGTTTTGTCCTTCAACGGAGGTAAATACTCCTGAAAAGCAGAGTTCGGGTTCTTCCTCGAAATCTTTATAAATTAATAGATATAATTTTAGAGTTATCATTATTGTTCATATTCATTCTTAAGATTTGAAGTTTTATTGATTGAGTGATTGATTTATTGTGCATATTCATGACGACAAAAAAAAAATAACCCATGATATAAATGCTAATTAGATAATCAAGTCTTCAAAAAGTTTGGCACTGACCCTTTATCGCAACATTTCGTCATGTATACCGAGGTTGAGTTTCACTGATCATTTAGTCAATGTTATTACGTTTTCCAATTTTGATAACGTTGCAGGATTTGTTTCACCACTTTAGTTGCTGGTTTTGATTTTTGCTTGCTAAATAATGAATGACAGTGTGGTTGTTTACCAGAAGGTATCTCTATCCTTAAATCAATAGTCAATTACTATAGCTCGTGTTTAATACGTGTATATCATATCAAAGTCCTACGTACCGAAATTATGTGTAACCACGTTTAATCTCAACATTTGATTGCATAACCATGGGTTGAAATATGTTAATGGATGAATTCGTTTGCTTCTTAAATATAAGGAATGTATAGCTACATTTTGATCACCTCAAGTTTAACAAAAACATTTGTTTGGAAAAACTTGAAGATACCAAGACGCGTTATTGTATTTTGTGTTATTCGGATTCGGATGACAGCTGGATTAGAAGTTGAATATAACCATGATTCCCTCTGTCTTAAACAAATAACAGTAGATCTGGTATTTATGAACATATATATACTATTACTCTACATTATCGTATCTGTTAAAATATAGATGAAATTATTTTTTACCAAAAAAATGACTTGCTCAATAGAAGATAACAAGAACATTTTAAAAATGGAATTCACAATATATTATTCCGACGTGACAAACGATATCAAATGTAACCGTAAATCGAATTGTCCGATTAGACTGGACACACATAGACTTCGGGAATATAAAGAAAAGTGTTCGTATAATAGTGTTTGTTAGTTTTTTATCTCCCAATTAGATTTTTTGTGTAATTGTCTGCCGTCTCATAAAGGATGTTTCATAATGTTGATTTCTAACTTTATATCGGCAACTTGCATGGTGGATTGGCGAAGACATTTCCACTCTAAGAGATATCGGGGTAGATTTGTATGGTTTGTTCGTGGATTACAACTAGGCAGAAAAACAATATTGAAAGTGATCTTTGCTGCTTCTTTGCAATGTCCGCTTTAAGGACAATGGGATAAAACTTATCAATTTTGAGGTAGAAAAATTAGATCGAGTAGGTGAAAAGTTACATAATTACCTTTTATTCTAATAACTCTAATTTCTTCACGAAAGACAGTGGTCCAGGAAATTTGTCCTTTAGACCCACTTTGTTGACAATAGTTGGAAGATGGAAGTAATTCGTTTTTTCTCATGCAAAAATCCAAGCTTCCAAAATAATCTAGTTCCCATGTAAATGATGCGTTAGGTCGTGTTCCTTGTAATACAGAAAAAACAACAACATTTGTTTATAACGTCATTTAGAGTTTGTAAAATAAACCAGTTAAGCATAGCACAAAGTACGTATTATAGAATTTATGTTTAAAAAAAAACAACTAAAATTTAGCAAAATAAAATTTAACATTAGTTTAGATTGAAAGACAATTAATTTAATGTATTCAAGCCACAAGAACTGTACGATCATTTGATGAATAGACTATTTGTATTCATTACTTCTTTTTTCCTGATCAAAAGTAACCAACCAAACGTCTTTTTTTATCTTGATCGCACATATTAAACAAAACGAATATTACATACATGTACGCTTGAATGATGTAGACATGATTTATAAATATTTATTTTAATACATATTAATTAATTGTAGGATTTTGGTTTCTTGTCGTGTATAATGATACTCTGAATAAATTCAATTTCACCTTAGAACACATGACCATTTTGATGTAAGCTTTAATAAAATATATGTTTACGTGTAGTTAAAGGTTTTGATTCAAATTTTTCGGTTAACTCAGTGGTGAAACTTAAAAGCATGTGTGCATTTTAGCGTTATTTGGAAATCTATTGTCTATTTAAGAAATTTGAAATTCCTAAGAAAAAGATCAGATGCTGCATAAACATGGGTTTTATTTAAACGTCACAATGTACAAAGTTTATTTTATAACCATTTTCAAGCATTGCAATAAAAGAAAGCTAATTCATCTTTTTTATTCAAGTACAGTATTTCATCTCAACATTGTACAAATAAAACCAAGGAGAAAGAAAATCGCCTCGGCATTGCTTTTTTAGCTACTTTTTACACCTACGCAACATCGACGCTCGAACAGTTCGAAGGTCAAATTAAATACGACGTTGAAGAGCAATGAAAACCAAAACCAAAATAGTTGGGCAACATATGGCTAAGGTTGTTTATGTCCAGGAGTTATTTACATAAGTGTTTCGAATGATTCAACATCCAATGAACGTATCAATGATATTAAATGACAACACACATGAGCTGACTACTTGGCTGTTGATACTCTCAAAATTTAAGACGCCATCTTGAATACAGAGCTCATATGATTAAATTTAAGTATGACAGGATTACAGAAAAATGTAAAAGCCATTAAAAAATTTAACTTTACCTTATTACAATAACCCCAATTCCCCTGTTAATGAAACTGGTTTTAAAACAACCTTCACTCTGTATGATTACAACTATATAAATAACGTTTAATTCATTTTCTTATCAATGCAGAAAACAATGGGATTTTGAGAGTACCCTATCACCTGATAAAGATATTTCAGAAACACGTTGCATACGGTTCACTATCAATATCGTGTTAATCTCGCTGCATACACCACATTGCTACTTGTATTAGTTTTGACGACATATATTGTCTTTCAATATCCAAATAATACATTTTGTAATTGTAATTAAATTTATAATTATTATTAAGGTTGAAACTTAAAGATATATCACAATTGTTGTACCCACTATCTCGTCCTCTTTTCCTTGACTGTGACGTAACCGAATGAATAGTTTCTGATATATAGTAAAATAGAAGAAGATTTATATTATTTATTGCTTTGTTGCAACATCGACAAGCCAATTGTCCAATCGTGTTGCTTTCTTCAGTTTCAACACCCATATATGTTACAATATGACCACGTCATCACAAAAACACACTTCCTGCATTTCATAATGTGTTTTTAGATTGTTTGCTATGAAAATAGCACTTAAGGAATTAATAAATTAAGTGCAACCACAGCGCTTTTCTGGAATTATCTTCATCACAAACGATTCAAACTATTACCGTTTGTTTGAATATTCCCCAGTTTAGTTTAGTTAAGTTTTCTGTTTTTTTGTTTCAATTCTATAAACTACTTTTATCCAAACTAATTGAACTATTTAAAAATGCAAACAAAAACATTTTCATTATGGAAACGAATTCTACGGACCTTTTCCTCTTTTGATTGATATTGTAAATACAAGGCTATTTCACCCCTTGACAACTACTTGAACAAACATATTGTTTATTAGAATTTTAATACATAACTTATAATGTACGGATGCTAGAAATAATAACACTATTACATGTATCAGCCCATGTACACCTGCAACAATACCTGATCACTTTGAAGATAACACGTTCCTCGAAAATAACAATTGCATCCAACATTATAGTTTCAGAAGTGTATAGGGGACCAATTTTGTGAAGGATGTAAATGTCAATCTTCAAAATTTCGCTTGTTTATTATCCCCAGATAGAAATAGACCAGATAGAAATAGACCTACTGAGCAAGTTATGAGCAGAAAACTCGGCATAGTGAACCACAAACCTGCGAGAGAAGAACATAAGGTTACTGGCGAATGCAGTTGAACTTAATATATTAAAAAGAAGAGTCTGATCTCTTTATGTATGATACCCATATTTATTCCAGAAAAAATAGAGCACGATAATATACATGTTGCACTAAACGTTAATACTACATTCTTTAGTTTAATATTCAAATATGAAAAATAACACTTTAAAGATTTGGTGCGTCCGAAGCACTTTCATTTGGAACGCTTTAACCAAAACAGTTAGAAACCAAGGATGTACAATTACCAAAGGGACCTTTACTGAATAGCCAAATGCTCCGAAGATCAATGTTGCATCGATTTCATAATGATTTTTAGATTTATTAATGCATAATCTGTAAGATTGTCCTGTCACTCAATACCCAAATTTTATTGAATACTTGAATATTATATATACCAATGAACCTCACCATACGGATGCTTCCAAAACAAGAAAGTCTGCTTCATATCTGAGTCTTTTCTTGAAATTGGCAATGATAGAAAACTGAAAACTAGGTTCTCTGACAACAACACGGTTTCAAAAAGGGAACAAGTTATTTTGAATAGAAAAGAAATATAAAAAACGGTCTTTACAACCCTTTTCCCTCGTCAATTAATCGATTGTCACAGATTACATAAGACTACGCTACATATACGCAACAAGCACACTAACAAACTGTCAAAACAGTTTGAAATCTTTAATGTCAGGCTTATTAATTAAACTTCAAAAGTAGTTTAACGATAAATAAACGCAAATCAAACAAGTTGAAATAAGCCAAATGAAGTACGAAGTTGAGGGTATTGAGGGCCCCAAATTCTTAAAGAGTTTGCCAAATACATCTAGAGTAGACAATCCTTAATTTTTCGAAAAATTTGAAGTTTTATAAACAGTAAATTTATAGTTATGACCATATCACTGATAATGCATGTCAACACAGAAGTGCTGACTACTGGGCTGGTGATACAATATGGTCCGTTGCAGTCCTTTAGGTCAAATCTGGACTTCGATAGTATGAACACTTGTTTTACAATTGAATAGTCATTCTTACGTTTTCCATAATTAACTTTCCTACCTGTATAATATGTTCGATATAGATTTCAATACATACAAGATTATATCTTTATCAGATGTACACGTTTTAAGCTTGAGGAGCAAACATTTTCATACATTTCAAATTCCGACCAAATTACTTGAAAACAAGCCAGAATTTAAGGATTTGGGATTTAAGGACAAAAGCATACATGCTTTTACAATTAAGTCCTGTCAACATGTATGTTAAAACAGGTATCCTTTATTACTTGAATATTTAGTTTGTACAGCACATTATGTTTTTGAGGCCTAAGTTTGTTTTATTTCCAGACGATTCTGACATTTATCACTAAAACATCATGTTGGCGTTTGATATGTAAATGTCAATGCTCATTATGAAAATATCAACACAAATTGTTCCCTTTCAAATGTATAACAAATATAAAATACACATAAGTATGGCATCACTGTTTCAATATGCGGACACATGAGCTTTCACATTGCGTATTTAATTAATTTTACCACATCTCCCAACTATTGTGGTGTTTACTGAACTGCAACGTCTTCCTTCCAAGTGATTATCATTCCCCGTATTCGTATCACAATAACCACAACATATCGTTGTGCAGTTTCCTGGGTCTGATGATTTTCTCACTGTATCTTGATATTCTAAAAAAAAAAAGAAAAAAAAAACCAATGTTCCAATTTTTTCACATTCCAAAACCTGCTTTTTGAATTACATACTTTAAATATAAAACATTGGAATACAAAAAAAATGCAAATCACAATCCTTATTTTTAAATAATTGTTTAAAGCATAATCAGCATGTTCAGTATAAAAACAGAATATTGGACAATAAACTGAATGTTTGAGATACTATGCCTATTAATATCGACCTACGAAAACATAAAACATAAAAGTGTATGATGAAATAAATTAGTACACTTAAGCTTAAAACAATGTTTAAAAGTTTCCTTTAAATTGCTTAAAATGTTTGTCTTAATGTATTCTAATCTATTCAAATTGTTGTTTCTCTTTTATATCACAGTAAGTGTTATAACAAAACCACAGATAGGAATGTTTCAAGTAGCTATAAAACCAGGTTTAACCAACCATTTTCTTCAAAAATGTGTGTTTGAAGTCAAAAAATGAAAACTTGCTTTCTAGTCGTTCCGCTGGTTGATATAGTCTAGCAGTGTGAATCAATAGGATTTAAAAAATCCTGTTCACGAATGTTATACCATTTAGGTTGTTTAAAAATTGTTAGGAAAGGTTTTTGCATTATTAAATTCATCGCACGTAATGACAATTTATTGCAACGAACAAAAAAAAAGCGAAAGACACCAAGTGACATTCAAACTCAAAAATTAACTGACAACGGCATGGCAAAAGAAAAAAGACCAAAACACAATATAGAAAACTTGAAAATAAGCAACACGAACCCCGCCAAAAACCGGGGGTGATCTCAGGTGCTCCGGAGGAATAAGCAGATCCTGCTCCACAAGTGGAACCCGTCGAGTTGCTCGTGTAAGTATAAACCTGGTGATAAGTCTCATTCGGTAGATCACATTCGGGGAAAAAGGAGGAAAAATTAACAAAAGTTTACATTATTTGTTTCGAAAGTTAAAAATGTGCGCCAACGACATTTTGTTTTTGTATTTCACTCTAATAAACAGAGACACGGATTGTCTTTGCCTTAAACCTATTAAAAATAGAAAAGCAAAACTCCAATTGGTAACAACACACGATAACTATCACTTAAATTAAATGTGTAAATAGACGGTAGTTTGCATTTCAATCATGGAAAATGATGACCTCACATATGTCATTATTTTATGTTTTGAGGCACATTTCATTGAAACCTGGTATCGAAAGGGTTCATTCTCCAAATGAAAGACATATCGGCCTAAAAGACAATAACTCCATAATATATAATTTGTTTTTAATCTCTGGTAAAGGTGTCACAAAACGTGTCTGAAGTCTCGATTTTTGCACCTTTCACAAACAAAACAGTAAAAAGACACCACCAGAAAAAGTGTCAATTTTGGACTTATAAGCACAGAGATATATTTAAATTGCATCTCATTATAAAACAATAAGGAATAAAAATTAGGATGGAAATGGGGAATGTGTCAAAGAGACAACAAACCGACCAAAAAGTAGAAAACAGCCCAAGGCCACCAATGAGTCTTCAACACAGCGAGAAAATCCTGCACCCGCAGGCGGGCTTCAGCTAAAATATGGTATAATAGCAAATGAAATAACTTTCAACCAGAGATCAAATGACAAGGGTATAATTTATGCAAAAAACATGATCAAATGAATATACGTCGCACATACTTGTTTGTTTTGTTAATATCAATTCTTAAATATTAGTCCAATCAAAGACTCTTACCTCTATATAGGAAGAAATTTGTTGAATTGAGGCAATATTTTATATCAAGTTGCTGTTTTTGATTGATTACATTAGGATGGCAAAGACAGTTCTGTGTTTTGGTCTGGAAAACAAAACCAAGAACATTTATTTAGTTTGATTGTAAAGCCTCTCATATGAGCTCATGTGTAATGATTACATATATGTAAGAAAAATTGTTAAAAGTGTTAAAACAAATACCGTTAAAAAATAATTTTGAAAATAGAATAACTTTTATTTACAAAGTAGAAAATGACCTTTAATCTAATTCCAAGAAATATTTACAAGTACTTATACTTACGTTCGGAACCCTCTGTCTGTAACCAAAGTAGCTTCCCATGTTCTCAGAGTCACATTTGTGTTTACAATATCCAATCGATGCCTCTGAGTGAAAAGAGTGCATCAGAATTTCAGGAATATGAAAACACCCTTAAATAAATGTTTGTAAAATAATTTGATGGCAATTTAGTTAAAAATCTTTTCAATTCTGGTAATCCATTTAATATCTACATTAATAAGAGATATCTGACTGCTAAGAAATTAATTGCTAAACTACTTTACGTTGTCTATTCTTTATCCTTGCCGAACGTTTTATATTTTCTCCACGTTCATAGGGTTTGCACAGCTCAATATTTGGTTTTCTGTGTTGATTGATTTTTGCCTTTTCCTTGTCTTTTCTCGCATTTATGTTTTTTGTATATCTGCGACTTATTGTAACGATTTTGTAAATTATGTTCTTATTTAGCTTGACGCACGGTATAGACTATTTGTATTACTGAATAATGGAAGATGAACTCTAGTGTTTTTTTTTTTGTTTTTTTTTTTTATGCGTATGCGTCAGTTTTTTGTTTTTATATACTATTAAGTGTTTTGTGTTGTTTTATTGCTATTCCCACATCCTTTTTTATTTATATTGTATTTCGAAAATATGCCTTGCTTTATTGATGATAGTATACATTTTTTTCATGACATTTTGAATTGACTATCTTGTAAGATGGACATAACTTGTTAAATGGCTTTATGATAACAGCTGCATTGTGAATACAACACTTGTATGGGTTTAAGAGCAATTTGAACAAGTTGTTAGGACTAGTAAAATGGCCACAGTTTTTGTTTCATTGTAGCCATGGCTCATTGTTCTTAAAATTTAAATTATTGTCTGTTACTTTTATGGTTTATGGCTCTTCATCCTTTTAATCAGCTTTGGATTTTTGTGTTGATTTCAAAGTGTCACATACTCAGATATCTTACTGAAGTGGTTGAAAAAGTAAACTTCGTAGAAATGGCTAGATTAAACTAAAAGTATTCACAAGCATCTTTCGTCCTCTGTTTGGTCATTTATCTTTTTTGATTATATTGTCACATATGAGTCTTTTGTAGACGAAACGCGCGTCTGGCGTATACACAATTCTAAGCCTGGTATCTTAAATAAATCTTTAGAGGACAATGTAACTTTGCCAGTGCTCATTCTGCTCGAAGTTAATGCGAATCATGATATCACCTAGAGAGACTGAATTGCCTACATTTACAGTGCCCATGAGTTAGTCCCTGTTTTTTGACGGGTTTGTGTAACTATATTGTAGTGTCCTTTTAAACGTTCCGTTAATTATAATTTGTCTTTTCTTCGTTTATTTTGTCTTGGTGTAGTCTGTTCTTATTCTACGTATGGTTTTGATGGCCAAATTTGAAACTTAATATTTTCAAAAACACATTACTTTTAAAACTAGTCTATACTTAGAAGCTATTTATCATAACGATGAACATAGAAACATTTCTTATTTATTTCGAATAAATAATTAAAGAAAAAACACCAAATATAAATGAAAATAACAAAATACAGAGACGGGAATACTGTGACAAAAATTGTATTAAACATTTATCAATCGCTATCGTTGGGTTATAACATACCATTTTTGAATACTTTTCTATTGAAAAATTTTGATTTTTTTACAATTTAGATTTTGAACTGTAGCGACTAGGGTGATTTTTTTTTCTTTTCAGGTTTTTGTTTTGATGAGATAGCTCCTTAGGTGTTTATACATGTTTTGCTCTCAGATGTTTGGGTTTGTGTGTTCCAGATGAAAGAAGATACAGAGGAGCGCTTCGGACGACCACATTTGTAAATATTACTTTTCATTTTAATACATTAAATGATTTACATTGTAGGTGTAAAAAGATAATTTGCCGTTAGTTATAATAAAAAATCCCTCAATTTATTTTAATTATTTGCACTCATTTGCAAAGTTACATTACATGAACGATAATTGAATATTACAAACTAATGCTTTAGGAGCAGTATTGAATTTGAATTGATAATTTTAGGAAACCTGTTCAACGATTGGAGAACGGTAACAGTAGAACATAAATTTTCTTCTAAATCATAGTATACCAGTGTTAAAAAATCATTGCCCCTGTATCATATACTATCTACTCGTCATAAACAGTTTGATGACAAACTTTGATGCAATTGAAAAAGATTTGAATAATGAAACTTTAAAAACCAGTTTAATTCATTTTCTTTTCAATTTTCATGCCAGTGTTTCTTTTGTTTTCTTCTCTTCCTGTTAGAATATCGACAGGTCTTTAGTAGTCTCTGATTTCTTTAACATTATTAAACACAATATGGTATGCAAATTTGTATACACTGTTTTAAAGATTTTTCTTGATATGTTTTTTTTCTATCATTTACACACACATTTCCTTTTCATTCTTTACAAATTTTAGTTACCAATAATCTCAAACCATCGTGTTGGTACTCTGTAGATAGCCTTTCCTATCCAAAATTCCTTCTCATCACAAATGCCACTACTCCGTAGGTTGTCTTCTCTGTTTTCCAAACCATACGGTTTGCATGCATCTCTGGCATGACCCCATGTTATGCCATTCAAATCAGTACGGACTACTTCTAGAGATGATATTTCTAAAGAAATAGAAATATAGTTGTATTAAATGTTGCAATACCGATAGCTATAAAAAGCTTTATATTTAAAGATTTATTCGCATGATACTGTCAGCAGAACCAGGAATAACATGCCAAAAAAAAAAAAAAAAATTTCCGTCACACAAAAAATATCTAACTTATTGAAAATCATCAAAATCAATATAACTGACACAGAGCCGTCAAACCGGTCAGCGTAAAGCATTAGGCTGAGGTGTTTAATTTTGTTTATAAATACAATTACATAAATAATAATTAACCTGCAAAATTGAGAAATGTATCAACTACATGTAAATCATGTCAACAATGACATTGACTAATACGTAGAAGGCAATATCGGAACCTTTCTGTCGTCAATTGTGAATGCATACTCATTATAAAATAAATGAAGGAAATTAACAAACATGCATGACTAAAATACCTATACATTATTTATCAATACAATCGCAAGAACAGTATATATGACCCTCAAATATATTGAAAATATTAGAAAAATTAATGTGTGAAATGGGATATCAAGTAGATATTAGAATAATCACATGTAAAATATGCATGTCATCAGAAACTATTCACTTTAACATTAATAGGAAATTAAAATATGATCTATCATTAGTATTGGTTAGATCAAACAAGGAAGTTGAAAGTTCACATACTACTACAGTATGTAACAACGTCAAAACGTTCATACTTTAAGTACACATTTCCGGATATAGATTCTATAAAAAAAAAAGGTTTAGTCAAACCCATTTTTGCCAAATTAGAATATAACACATTATCGTATGATGTCGCCTGATTATATCTATTAAATAAATTTTCAAATGAGTTGTCACAATTAAATTGAATGATTTATAAATATTTTAGTTTCTTCAGAAAAGGCTGAATGTCAAATACGAAATGATTTTAGTTGACCAACATCATGATCGTATTCTCTTTCAATTGTTACACAATTATCATAGTGCAGTCAAACCCATCTGTTTCAAGTACTGGGCTGAGTAGTTGAACATTTTGTATAAATACAATTCCATTGGTGAGAACCAATTAAGATTTTAAAGCTATAAAACCAGGTTTACTTCACCAACTTCTACATACGGATTCCGTAATGCCTGTACCAAGTCAGGAATATTACAATTAAACTGTTTTCCATTCGTTTGATGTGTTTGAGCTTTTGATTGTGCCATTTGTAAATTTCTGGGAACATTGAAACACTGACAAATACGGACTAGATTATCAGTGTTTTGGAGACATTTTTTTGTTCTGAATTTGAATGCATATGTTTTAAAAAACAAGGAATTCAGATACATGTATGACTTTATTTTCTTTCAATATAGAATTATACGGAAGAAAGCTTTATATATAACTATGAGTTTATATTCCAATTAGATACTAAATGAAAAGGTAAACGAAATACTTACCATACGGTATCAAAATTATCACGAGTAAAGCATGTAAAATGAGCATGTCACCGGCAACCATTGATGATAACAGCAATCGGAAACAATAATTTGCGTCATCATTGTATACAGTTATGACCAAACAAGGAAGTTAAGAGTTAACTAACTAATACATTAAGAACTAAATACACAATTGTCGATGTCATAATATTATCACAGATACATATGGTAAGAGGAGAAAGCAAAAAGACCAACATTTAATTTTCCTGTGTATTCATGTTATTCACACCAGAGTGATAGAAGATGAGTATGAGCAAGATATAATTACCATATATGCATAAAAGTGTATTAAACATTTTAACTTATATAGATATAAGAAGATGTGGTATGAGTGCCAATGAGACAACTCTCCATCCAAGTCAAAATTTATAAAAATAAACCTTCATAGGTCACAGTACGGTCTTCAACACGGAGCCTTGGCTCACACCGAACAGTAAGCTATAAAGGGCTCTAAAAAAATTACTAGTGTAAAACCATTCAAACGGGAAAACCAACGGTCTAATCTATATAAAAAACGAGAAACGAGAAACACTTATGAACCACATCAACAAACGACAACTACTGAACATCAGATTCCTGACTAAGGACAGGTGCAAACAAATGCAGCGGGTTTAAACGTTTTAATGGTACCAAACCTTCACCCTTTTTCTGAAACAATAGTGTAACATCACAACATAGAAAGACACACTATAAAATATCAACTGAAATAGCTTAACTCAATCAAAGGACATATTAACACCATTGAACATACACTGAACAAATAAATTTGACCTATGACACAATGTAAATACAAAAAATTTAATATCAATACTTATAATAAAGATTATAATTATATCTATGTATCTGAATGCTTAGAATTCTTTCAGCTAAAATAAAAAAAAAAAATCCAAGATAAAATTCTCACGGTCAAGACAGTCTGAAATCGTCTTCGTAAAAATGGTGTATGCACCACACGTCATAATTATGGCGCAGTAATGAGACCAAGTGTCTGATAGTCGAACAGTATATGGGCTGGGACCTTCAAAACCGGAGGCTAGTCTGGTTCCGCGAATTGAAATTAATACTACAGAAAAGAAAACGACTGTACGCGTGTATTGTCAGGGTAAAAATGAGGAAATGAGATTCAGTAAACGGTTTGTTTATTCTTAGTCTTTTGTGTACACCGTTTTGCAAAAATTTCTTAATGTTCTTAAAATTCTAGCATACAGACATACATTCTTAACCCGTCATATTGGAATACAGCTCGCATATGATGGCCGGAATGTGATATATTGGAGGAAGCATGCCTTGCAGCGCATTGTATATAAAAAAAAAAACAAAAACAAAAACTGAACAGCAAGGAAAAATGAAAACGGAAAGTCCCTGATCAAATGGCTCGATCAAAAGCTCAACCAGATCAAACAAATGGAAAACATCTGTCATATTCCTGACTTGGTACATGCATTTCCTTATGTAGCAAATGGTGAATTTAACCTGATTTGATAGCTATATCGTAGCTAAACCTTTCACTTGCATGCCAGTGGCATTTTATTCCATTATATTGACAAAATTGTGTGAAAAGTTCGTATTGGTTCATATGAAGTTATTCCGCTATTTTGAAGGCGTAATGACTTAAATAGTCTGTCCAAATTTTGACTTGAATAAGAAAAACCAAATGCAAAAACAATATTATTTGAGGTTCTTCCAATTTATTTTCGAGAAATTAATAATACATAAGATAAAACAATTTTTGCAAAATGTATTCGGGTGATAAAATGGATATTTTAGTCAGACGTCATTTATAAAAAGAGGCGCTTTTTGTGACTATGAAAAATAAGATTTTTTTTTATCCACCGTACATGAGTCGATAGGGTCAATCACGTGAAGAATATTGCATTAAATATTAGGACAATAATTTAGATTTCAAAACATAAACGTTCCATTAAAAAATCAAACCATACACAATAGTCATTCAATGTTGTATCAAATCAGATATATTCTAGACAAACTAGTTTTCTGACAACTTTGTTTTATAGCGCTTGAAATTAAATCTAATGTATTGTTGTATAAAATAGTCCAAAATAATATATATCATCCATACCTTATGTTAAAAAAAAACATCGAGGTCGACTTAAAAGTGTATGTCAATGTATGATGAAGCGGACATAACTGCGTATGTGTATAGTCAATCATAAGTTCCTTAACATTTTTTTAAAGATACAAAGATTGTGATTAAGGATACTATACACGAGTTTCGTACAAATAAGACTTATCAATGGTGCTTGATTAAAAACAAATAATATGTCAAATCAAGAACAAACTTGAACAGCATTTAAACTCAAAGTTCCAAAAGGTTATGCCAAATCTGCATGAAACTATCTATGCCTCAGGTAAAATATATTAGTGGTTCGAATGATTTTCACATTTGAGGTACAGTTAACGATAGTTTCAACGCAATTTCATAAAAGCTCACGAAAAAAAACTCGGTGGCAATTTGGGTCAATATCCTTAATGCGCCTCAAATTGGGGAACTCAAAAGTTGTGCGTCAACAAAAAATCTCTGTGTAGTGATATTGGACGTGTTTCGATTTTTAACAAGTGACTGAGCTTAACCATTTGGGTTGATTTGGAAAGTAGAGGACCATAGAATAAATGTGTAAAAACTATGGAGTTATGACATGTATTCAAAGTATTAAATTTCCAAAGAACTTGTGTGAAAAAAGGGATTTTTTACCACGAGAAGCCGCATCACGAAAGGATTTTTGGGGTATGCTAATTTACAGAAAAAAAAATCTCACTTCGTACCCCGAAAATTTAACCACATATGTGAAAATGTTTCAGCTTCGAAACGAGCCATCATACATATCATAGTTTACGATATGGACTGAGCTACAGCAGAAAACGTAACAATTACCGCCGATGGGAAATCAGTTGCGCATATTGACCCATTTCTTTAATTCCTTTGTCCATGTCGTAAATTTGAAAAATATGATAGCTCGTTTCAAAGATAATTTTCGATTACAATATGCAGACCCTGTTAAAGCATTGAGAAAGCAATTCTGTTGTCGTTCAATTGAACAAAACACTTTTGCCAAATAACTGACTTCTTCGAAAACTCTGAACCACCGGAAATCTGCTATTTTCAACCTTAGGATACACTTTAATCTACTATGAACGTTATTCTTCTCATTTAGTATTAAGTGCAATGAAGTATCAATTTAAAAACCTTGAGCGTTTACATACTTCTACATAAAACTGAGGTTTTTTTTAAAGATGTTTCACTGTAAACACTTCATCTATTAGAAATGCATTATGGATTTTGAAATAAACATAATGCCAAGACAGTTGTTATGCTGCCCGTAGATAACAACTGCCATGCAGGAAAGAAGAAATTGTTTTTTAATGATATTTTTACGATAATAAACATAAGCAACAATCTATTGTTATAACCATGATTTTATTATATTTTTATGACTTTTGTAATTCAAGTTAAATGTTGAGTTTTTTTTATATTATTTATCTTAACACTGTTAGAGTTTCTTATAATAATACTCGTTTGAATGTTAAATAAGCTTTATCTTTGAAACATGCCTTAAAAAAACATTTTATATCTCTTCTACAGAATTTCCCGGTGCATCGTTTATACGAACATGGATAATTGATTTTTCATAAAGTTTAGGTCATCTTTATTTCACATTATATTATATAAGAACCTATTGTAAGCTAACATTTTGTAACAAAAAGAGACTATCATCTGGTGCAGTTAAATTGGTACCGTTGATCATGTTTATGTTGTTAATAACAATAGTTCGATACCACTGCGTGTGTACTATACATGCTATAACCAACATAAGCCTAGTAGCCAGTACTATTGTTCTGGTATGAAAATACGGATATTGTTGTATTCAGATTAAATGTTATAAAATTTTGAAATCATTTCAGATTGAGGAATATATCCTACCTCACACTCATGAATGGCTCCAATTCTTTTTCAGGCTTTGACTTTGATTGTGATCCATTTTTGGTTTTGTCAGCTCTTAAAGTTTATATTAGGTTTTGTACTGGAAACTTCTCGGCCCATCCATCACTAAAGAGACGTTGATTTTCGAAATGTGCATCTAGTGCAGTAAGATTGGTACCGTTAATGTTATCCCTTATAGGATTGACAAGATTCAAGTAACAAAAAGGGTATGGTTGAATACAATATACGACAAAAGTTGCAGTTGTGTGAATGTACAACTATTTCTTTCTAATATATCTTCTTGCAGACGTTCAGAAGTCTATGTTTCTCTCCTTTTTTATATAGAATATACTAATCTATAAATTTAAGTGTATATTGTAACGTTTACATTTCAGCCATTCGAGCAGTCACAGTCCAATACTCTAAAGCTTTTGACAATGTACCAGACGGATATACTGTTGTATTTGACCTTGTCATTACAAATGAAGGTAGAGGGTACGTTTCCCATTCTGGTATATTTACTGCGGATGTCTTATGATTTTTTCTATTTCTTTTCAACATAAGAGTTCGATACTACAACCAATTGTGTACCAGTGAATTTTTAAGGAACAACACCAACGTGGTGTTGACAATGTCTATGTCGTGTACCAAGTACCATCAGCACAGCAGTGAAAGTAATTTTGGAAACATTCATTTAAATATCAGTGACAAAATATGGATAAGGTCTTCGCCTATAACAGACACAGCACACTGATTTGATGTTAGATCAAGTTTTTTCGGGATATCTGCTTAATTCATCATACATTTCGCAAAACATTAAGAAGACACTCATTATCTAATATATGTATTAGTCCTCACTTTTCTTTAAATAATTTCACACGGATATATGCATTTTTATTTTATAAAACCAAGCTCAAAAAAGAGGGGCGAAAGATACCAGGGGGACATTCAAACTCATAAAACTGACAACGCCATGGCTAAAAAAGAAAAAGACAAACAGACAAACAATAGTACACAAAACACAACATAGAAAACTAAAGACTAAGCAACACGAACCCCACCAAAATATGGGGGCGATCTCGGGTGCTCCGGAAGGGTAAGCAGATCCTGCTCCACATGTGGCACCC